CACAGATTGCGAGTCGAGCGCCCTAACCACCTGGCTATGCCGGGCCACTTCAGTTAGAGTTAGCTTTTAATAATTATATTAGTACACACAAATGATTCCAAGTCGGGTCCAACATTACCTAAAACTTTACCAGACTCACCAAGACTGACAAAAGCAAAAAATAATAAAATAATAATAATAACGAGAGAATTTTTTCACAGTTTATAACAGGTGAAATCTTGTCACCTAGTAATGAATGCTACAGTGTAATAACGGCCTGTAAATGCATGATTTTTCTTAACTTGTATGTGTATTCGCCTTTGAGTATACCGTTATAAAAACACTTTGTCCGTAAATATTAGAGAAGTGAACAGGATTTATAATATGAGCATAAAATTATAATGCTTACTTTATCAGGTATATCTTTCCTGAAATTCTTCTTACATACGTTTATACTGTTTGCTTTTGGAAAAACATTTTAATGGCAACATGAATTTTAAATATTTGTTAAGTTCTGTACTTTGGTGACGTTTGGTCCGTTTTGGAGTATTAAATGAGGACTTATAGTTAATTTTACATCTGCCAAGTACTGCATTGGAATTTATTACAACATTTACTCATATTCATTACTAACATTTACTTATATAACAAACTAAAAACATCATAATTTTCCCATGCTTATTTTATTAAACTATAACAACAACCTTACTTTATTCATATGAATATTAAGAATTAAGGAAGCTATTAAAATTCAGCTGAAATTTCATGATACTTTCTGCACTTAGTTGACCTTATAGAACCAAATTACCTTAACTTAACATGTCAAATGCTTACCGTTTTAAACGCCAAGTTTTTTTGTGAATGATCAAATACTATAACAGGTCTTGTATTGTATCCATTTGTATCCTACCCTAATTCCAGAATATGGACTTTTCAGCTTCACCCTCGTATATTCGAAAGTATATTTCGGACTTATGCCCACGTTGTCGCAACTAAAACTATCCTTTTCGTATTGTGCATGAAACTTCCCATAAAAAAAAACAAATACTTTCAAACATTTCGGTATAAACTATAACAAGGAGCTAAAAAGTTTACAAAGATGTGCTAAATAAGAGTTCGAAAAGTTCACCCAGTTTTTGTTCTACCTCGTAGTCAACGACCGAAGTTCAAATTCGGTTTTTCTTTACATTTTCACAGTTGGGCTACTCTTTTACCAACGAATAGTGGGATTGACCGTCACATTATAATACCCCCACGGCTGAAAGGGCGAGCATGTTTGGTCTCAAATATGTTACTGTTTCCCGAGGAACTAAATCGAACTTGATAACCACTTAAATATCAAGAAGAGCATTTTATGATAATTCCTAAATGACAATCAGTAGGTTTTAATTCATATGATGTTTCCCATGTTTTTCTCGCGTGTGAGTTTCTTATGAACCCGTTGAACATCGTCGTTTCGGAATTTTCGCACAAAGCTTCACAAGAGCTATATGAGCTTAGCCGTCTCTGATTTTGAAATTAGACACTAGAGGAAAGGCAGCTAATTAACAGCACTCACTGCCAATTTTTGGGCTACCCTTGACTGACTGAATTGGGGAATTTTACAATCACCCACTGCTCCAAAGTTCTGAGAGCATTTTTTCTAGCAACGAACCACGAACTCTCGCATTCACAGTTCGAGCACGCTATCCACTAGGTACACTCAGATGCACAGGAAACAATAAATCCAAAAAGTTATAAATTGTACTCAATTTTCTATCGCACCAACTAAGACATGTACCTGTAGTTTAGATAAATAACGATCCAAAGTTCTGTCGCACCAACTAAGACATGTACCTGTAGTTTAGATAAATAACGATCCAAAGTTCTGTCGCACCAACTAAGACATGTACCTGTGTTTAGATAAATAACGATCCAAAGTTCTGTCGCACCAACTAAGACATGTACCTGTAGTTTAGATAAATAACGATCCAAAGTTCTGTCGCACCAACTAAGACATGTACCTGTTGTTTAGATAAATAACGATCCAAAGTTCTGTCGCACCAACTAAGACATGTACCTGTAGTTTAGATAAATAACGATCCAGACTACGGTGTTAAGGACATATTTGAACACTATTTACTAGCCGGAAGATGATAGGTTACATCTCGCCATTGGAAATACTCAAAATGTTCGTCAAGCTACATGGTGAAAGATAACACATGGTATGACGCAGTACACTAGACATTGGACTGATCAAATTACACCGTATGAGCGGTTTCAATTACGCTATACACTCGACGAAAGCAACTATAATGGGAGCAATACACCTGAATTTATTTCCACACACAAGAAATATAGTGACGTGTATACTGAAGGAAAAGATAATTATAGGTAGCGTTGAGAGGTGGTGGTATAACTGATACCAATTCAAGGCCTTGACCACAAAAGAATAATAATACATGGTTTCAATGAAAATGTATTTTTTTGTTCAAATTAAAATACCCGAAACGTCAGATAGATAAATCAACAAGATACTCATTCATTTTTTGTTTGTTCAAAGTGTCAAAATAGGAGTAAATTTACTACCTTTCAGGCTACTATGAATTCAACAATAATAGCATTCAACATATTTTAAAACACGCACGCACATCTACAGAGACGGAGAGAAAGAATTAAACGTTTCAGAAAATATGTAAAAATTCTTTAACCTTTGTTCGGTGTTCTTTACAAATTAAATATTCGTCATTCTTCTTAGAACTCGATGCTCCCCTACTTTTTTTACCTTTATATTTTTCTGTCTACTGTATAATATTCACTAATTTGCAATTATTCCCCCCCCCCCATTACCTAATCAGCCACATACTTGTGTACTTACGTATTTACTAGGTTATTACTCTAACTTGCGTATTTACTGGGTTATTACTCTATCAAAAATTAATTGAAATTTTATGGCTATTTTTAAAACCACACGCCACCTACTTAGTTATCCATTTCATGGTTACCTAGCCAGCTGCCTAAATAATTATATATCTATTAACATATACACTTAGCTACTATCAGTGTTGCAGAGGTGCCCGCCTATTCATCAGACTTGTTTGTTTTTTCAGGTTGAAGATGTTTGTTGAAGGATGGATGTGCCTGAAAGTTCACCCAAAAATAAACTTCAAGTTTAAGATTAATTGATTATATTTATATGATGGATTTCCTCACTTTTTCGTCCATTTACCTTTTTTCCTCCCCATAATTTACTGATTCGCTACATCACTATTAACCTTAACATCTATCACCTTAAGTATCAAATTACCGATCTAATTGAGAAACTACCTACTTGCGGAGGTATAGTTGCACCACTGAGCGATGCTACTACTTCACTACTAACTTTAACATCTATCACCTTAAGTATCAAATTACCGATCTAATTGAGAAACTACCTACTTGCGAAGGTATAGTTGCACCACCGAGCGATGCTACTACTTCACTATTAATCTTAACATCTATCACCTTAAGTATCAAGTTACCGATCTAATTGAGAAACTACCTACTTGCGGAGATATAGTTGCACCACTGAGCAATGCTACTACTTCACTATTAACCTTAACATCTATCATCTCAAGTATCAAATTACCGATCTAATTGAGAAACTACCTTCTTGCGAAGGTATAGTTGCACCACTGAGCGATGCTACTACTTCACTATTAACCTTAACATCTATCACCTTAAGTATCAAATTACCGATCTAATTGAGAAACTACCTTCTTGCGAAGGTATAGTTGCACCACTGAGCAATGCTACTACTTCACTATTAACCTTAACATTTATCATCTTAAGTATCAAATTACCGATCTAATTGAGAAACTACCTACTTGCGAAGGTATAGTTGCACCACTGTGCAATGCTACTACTTCACTATTAACCTTAACATTTATCATCTTAAGTATCAAATTACCGATCTAATTGAGAAACTACCTACTTGAGGAGGTATAGTTGCACCACTGAGCGATGCTACTCCAAGTAGAATTATTGGCATCCAACAACAGAAGTCAGTAGTCACGATAACAGTCATCCTTCTGGCCATAGTAGCTTCAGCTCTTGAGTCTCTGGAGCGGACAGCGGTCTGAGTTTTCTTGGCTACACCAAACATCCAGGTATAGGCTAATGTTATGACAGCAAATGAAACGAAATTGAGAGCCAAAAATATAGACACGGAATATTCCCAGCCATGTGACCTTTCTGGTGTAATATGTAGCGCTAAGCATACTCCTGAACGACCGTAGAAATTGGAAAAGTAGTTGATGTCCAACAAAGGTATTCCAGCCAGAAGAACTACCACTGCCCATACAGCACCCATGATCAAAGACATCTGTTTCATATTCAAACGCTTCAGGCGAAACGGAAATATTATACACATGAAACGGTCAAGAGTGATAATGGTTAAGGTCAAAACAGAAAGCTCACTAGACAGAGTGGAAAGGAAACCAGCGAATTGGCAGAGAGGACTGTGTTTCCAGTAGCTATCGTAGATAAAGTAAACACCTCGGTAGTAAGTGTCTACAGTAGCAATAATGAGCAAGTAAATTCCCATAAATAAGTCTCCTATTGCCAAGTTAGTAATCAGGAATGAATGTACCTGAAATGAGGAATTTTCAATTTTTAGAGCTCTCTAAAATTCAGCATTCGCAGTTATAATAATCTTTAAAATCTTATCTTGATTGCTGGTATTTGTTATTTAAAGCACAAAACAAAAATTAACAAGAAAAAATACAAACAAAACTTTCAAAGTATACAAACCCTTGAGCATTTAATCTTTAAATATCTTCTGTGCAGAGAAAGTTTATAAAATCTAACCTTCGATGAAGCTTATGTAACTACCCGTTTTCCTATAAAATCCCCACTTACGTATAACATGTTCTTCAAGAACACTTGTACTTGTTCAGTTAAAAAGAGGTCAAAACGATATACGGTAATTCATGAGCGAACAAATAAGCCTTGTTGATTCGATAATGAACCAAGATTTCACTTTTGGTATTACAATATCGAAAGTTATAATTTTTTTGTAATTAAAAAATAACATCATTTTTGCAATCAGATTTACATGGAATATTTCCATCTATATTTACAAAAAAAACCGTTATACTGAAGGCATATCAATTCAGTAACTTTCAAAATTTCCACTTACCGTTTTGCAGAACTTTTTAATAACTTTTAAGTTGAACTAATAATTTTTAGTAACATCTGAAAACTTGACTGTATCAATGATAAAATGATATTACTACATTGGTGGTTGATACTGGTGTTCTATTACTGAAACAGACTGGTACGTTCATTTGTAAATTTTATGTGATTCGTAACAACATAGCTTTCGTAAGGATCAAGATTAATTGGATTATGATTTCAAACTTATCTAATGTAAATTCTTATTATCTATAAACGAGTTTTTAGTTAAATGTATATCAAAATGAATTATTTTTAAGTCTTAATTAGAACACCATACAATAACCGTTATGTTTCCAGGTAATAGAACACTTTAAAGACACGTGATTTTACATAACTAGATCTTCAAGTTTTATTAGACATATGTTTGCAAGAACCTTGTTGTTAATTCTGTAAAGAGACCTCCAAATGATAACCAGTGTGTTTCCAGCTAAAGCCAGCACTCCGAGGAACCAGATGCAGACTCTTAAAACCGTGTTTGACATAAGATCTTCGCACGACGAGAATTCATCCGGTTTAGGGTAACACTCGACCACGTGAGGTGCCAGGCAACAGAAGCGGAACTCATCAGTGTTCCTAAATTGCAAAAGTAGAGTTAGTGATAATAAACTTGATTGCAATACAGCGTTTCTACTGCAAGATGTAGTTACTGTTAGTGTGGCCTACTTTGTAACTGTAATATACATAAAGGTGCTGTCTGACAAGAGGTATTTTTGGGGGGACGTGGGATTATGCTGCGAAAAATATGATCTGTGCTTTACATTTACTTCTAGGACACCCTTACAAAGCATTGAAGCAAAGACTATATGTTAAGGTGTATACCTATTAACATAAATCTGAATTCAAACTTTTGTTGATAATTTTTGATTTTCCGATGTACTGTAGTACGAATTAGCATAACCGTAATTGCTTAATGACCCGGTACAGCCCCGGAAATTGTAAGAAATTTAGGGATTAAAAAGGACTTAGCTGTTGGTTTGCTAAAAAGAATTATAACTATATTTTCTTCCCCCATAAATGTAAACAACATAACATCATTCCTAAAGTCAATCCACCTTAATAAAGCCATGCTTCGTTATAAGATCAAATATCAACATATTTATAAATACAATAACAGAATAACGGTAATGGTTTATATCAGAAGACAGATGATACAATTGAAACCATATAATCTATCAAGGTAACAACCAGCTATTCAACCATGATAAAGTCGAGCTGAGTACTAAGCGACAATACCACTGGTTGCGCTGACCCATCATGTAGGGACTGTTTGTTTCGCAGGAGGTATTGTCTTATTGATTCTCTGACTTTTACGCTTCCTAACTACACCACATGCGCTTTGTTTTTCAGTATCTCATTCTCTCAGAATGTCCATGAAGACCTTCCATGGTTGCCACTTTTATCTTACTAGTGCGTAGGAGGTCAATAGCCCGCCAGTAGAGTTGTGCTCGATTTGATAAAGGAGTTTCTCTTGCGAGTGTGTCAGCTTCCTTGTTTAGCTTTACCTCTGCATGTCCTAGCACATATATCCAGTTGATAATCTTACCATGTAAGCACTGTTGGGGCTCTGGGATGTTTCTGAGGCTTGTGAGATGCAATAGGGCATTAATGAGAGTAGATGAATTACATTCCGTGACCACTCTTGAACAGGAATGTTGTATCCTTTTAATCTAATCTACCCATGTAGCACTCATACTGATCATCATTAGAGAAGTAACCTTCCCCAAGTACTTAAGTGTTTCTTCCAGAGGGATAGCGGTAGCAAAAATGAATGGACCTGAAGATGAAAGGCGGAAGACTTTCGAAACGTCGTCCACTACATTTGTAGGTTTCTACAACAGGCAGTTGCTGTCCATTTCAAACTTTGATTCATACATTTACATAAGCGTTTAAGGTCAGAGGCCTTTCTGAAAACATAGATAGGATACGTAACCAGCATAAAGTCAGAACAGTATCAAGGAGCAATAACACAATACAATCGCACAAAAAACTTCTTGAAAGACCTAACGGACAGCAAAAACACAAGTTATAACGTCCCTTGCTTATGTGAACTGCAATGAATTATAAAAACAAAAGGACCAACACAAGTTGGATTCAGAATCGTAATAAACATACAATAGATTACAAAAACACAATTTATAACGTCCCTTGCTCATGTGAACTCCAATAAATTATAAAAACAAAAGGCCCAACACGAGTTGGATTCAGAATCGTAATAAACATACAATACATTACAAAATCTCATCATGAAACCTCTACATATCTCTAACTGGTGACATTCTCAGGAAACCCTAGCGTAAAAGCCAGTAAAACCTAAATATCCTTCTTGAAAACATTCAAATAGTTAGTTGCTTCAAGTTCAAATGGAAGTAACTTCAAACGAATGGATAGCATATCAGCCTTTATATCAAGGAAATCTTTGCTCAAATTCTGGCTACTACCACAGACCTATTTCTAACCAGATCTTCCAGATTAACAGCCAAAACGTAAGATAAAAACCAGCTAGTAATATGTATCTAGTAATAAAAAATATTAGTCACTAATTAATATTTAAAGTTGAGAGATCAACTAACCATGGCAACAATTACATCATCTGGCATCACAACAAAGATGGTTAGTATCTTATCTGATAAGCTATTTTTATATTCTGTAACTCTGTCTCCACTAATTAGCTGATTTTCACGCAAAACTACCTATACTATTCTTAATTATTCAGATAATAAAATAATGAATGAATATGCAAAATAACTCAATAGAAGCTAAAACTTTTAGCTAAATGGTACTCACACATACATATAAACGTTGATGTTGGTTAGGTTGATTTATTGCAAATTGCAAACCACATATATTGGATAATCAAGTTACATTTTTATATTTTACAATCTACTTACCTCACTCTGGTTTTGTAGTCGGGGCTTGGGAGGTTTTATTGATTGTTATCGAACTATACTTGAGATAGTGTAGTTTCATTACATCATATTATATTCTTTTGTTGGTTGGTGGTTAGGTGTATTATCTAATTTAGATTATAAAGGTAGAGAAGATGTAAGATCTATACATCAACGTTTTTGTATTTCCTACCTTAGTAATTGGTGTTATGGGATTACTACTATGCCCATAATCATCCATTAATGGTGAATATTAGTTCAGCTTTGGCGGTAGTGGGTTTAAGCACCCAGACCTTGTCCGTTTTTACTGTTGTTATATATCTCCTTGCACAACAGTTTTCGTATGCAATTTAGAAGTTAACCAAAGAAACAAGATATTATTCAACGCCATTTGGTTTTGGATGTAGTTACCTTTCTCAAGATTACATCTGTGTAGTTACTCTGAAACTGGAGGTATTTTTTCAATATTTTTGGTGTGATTGGCTATATGATATGTGTATGTACACTGAGTGGTCACAAGTAAATAGACACCTAATATTTCGTCATTTAACTGATTTATGCTAA